CTCCCTCCCCCCTCCCCCCCTCCTCTGCCTCCCGAGCTGGGTCCTGCATGGCACTGGGCGACCCCGGCACCCACGGGATGCTCGAGCTGACGAAGCGGGGCTCAGGCGAGCAAACGAAGCAGGGCTGAGCCCGAGCTAACGAAGCAGGGCTCAGCCCACGTCCCCGTGCGCTGATGTCCTCTCTCCGCCCCGGTGCCCTCGCTCACCCTCCCCACGCCTGTCCAGGACCCACGGTGGCTTCAGGGCCAGAGCCGCTGTCACCCAGGGGGTCCCGGGGTCCGGCAGGATCAGGGTGTCTCCTGAAGCGTTCCTGACTCCTGCACCCCATTTCTGCGGGGTCTACGGAGGGGTGCAGTGGAGGCACTGGTGGGATTTGCTGCCTGTTTGCCTGCGAACCCCAAATCGCCGTATCTTACCCCATGCCAGTGCGGGGCCCGCGCGCCTCCCACACGCCAAGGTTTTGGTCCAGTCAGTGCCACCTCTCACCCTGGTCAGATCCAAGACGGAGGAAGCCACCGGCACTGGGGTAGGGACAGGCTTGGGGATGGGGTCTGGAGGTCCTGGGGACCACTGCCCTCCAGTCCCTGTCCCTGAGTGGGGTGACGGGATGCAGTCGGGGTGCTCCCAGCATCAACCCACCGGATCCCTGGCACCAAGGGTGGCATCCAGCACACACGGGGACATTGCTGTCCCATCCCACAGGCCTCGTGGGACACCCGCCACGGCCCCACGGACTCACCCGCAGCTCCTGGGCCCTCGGCAGCCGCCCTTGCTCCGCTCAAACTTTGCCACAAGTTGAGACAAAGGCAGCGGTCCTGTCCCTGTCCCCTGTCCCCGCTGTCCCCAGACAGCCTGGTGCCACCGGGACTCTGGGACTTAATGAGGGCACAAGGGCGGTGGGCTTGGGGGCTGCACACACCACACACACACACACACACACACACACACACACACACTGCAGCTTAACCCTTCCCCTGCCGCTCCGCTCCGCCCCATCTTTGGGGCAGCTGGGAACTGTTTGGGGGCTCCCCTGTGCCCCCCCT